ATTAAGCAAACTTTTAAACAATTTTTTAATCATGTATCGAATGCTTTCACGGTTATCTCGGGAATTGGAAGCTTTTCCATTGTTGTTAAAATGACTTCTTTGTAAACCTTTTTACACAATATCTTGTTTCAATATGAGCTGTAAAAAAATTAAATTTAACTGTTAGTTTTAAATTTTATAGGTAACACATACATTATTTTTAATATGTTATAAAACTCTTACGATTTCTCCCAACACTCTTCAGATAAAAATTTTTACTATTAAAGGTAGAAAAACATAACCTTTAATTTTATAATCGACGCTTATTTCAACGTTTTAAAATGTACTTGTAATAAATAAGCACATGCTTATGATTCATATAATAAATTGATAACATTCCTTTAGTTACTGAATAATAAATTATATAAAACTATTAAATAAATACAATTTTATATTTATATTGTATATAATTTGATATATATTGTATGTAGCTTATATACAGTGCCGTGGCTACTAGATACAAGTCCCCCTCCCAATTAAAAAAAAACTGTCATAAGGGTCCCAAAATTTTTAAAAACTTTTCCAATTAATAATACTAAATAAAAAAAATCCTTACATTTGTAAAAGGGCCCCTAAATTTGCAAATGAGCCCCCTAGACAAAGCTCTGCTTATATATATATATATATATATATATATATATATATATATATATATATATATATATATATATATATATATATATATATATATATATATATATATATATATATATATGTGTGTGTGTGTATGCATAAAAAGACTAAAAAGTTGCAAATTTCTCAAACATAACCTATTTACCATAAGATTTGTGTGCTTTTAAAATCTTTTTACCTTAACTATTTTTTTTTTGTAATTTCAAAACAATTATCACTTTCATTAACTGAAACAAAACACTCTAAACCTCAATCATTTTTTAACTGTAAACATTGTCTCAATGCAATGATTACTACCATCAAAATAAGGAATACTAAACTTCTGTTCATCTTCTTGTGCGTGTTTATGTCACAATTCCGCAAGTCTGACTCCAACTCCACAGCCCTGGTGTTAATGAATGGACATTATAAACTAGTTGATCCTTATGATAAAGTTCCCCAATAAAACTGCACAAAATAAGTAGCTGCTAATGAGTACCAGCTTTAATCTGAAGCTAATGAGTTTAAAGCTGAAGCTGAAGTATCTGCTGCAACCCCTACTTTAATCGAGGTCATAAATAAGGGTACCGTAGATGGGGGTAACTAAAGCCACTTTCGAAATTCAAACTTCTGCCCAAGTCAGACCCTTTAATTATAGGTTAAATAAATATTGCAAAGCTTGGGTCTGTGGTCATATATTAAAGAAATATATTCATAAATTGCAGAAATATACATTTTTTTATTAAAAAAATGAAAACATGGTGGCTTTAGTTACCCCTGGAAAAGGGGTAACAAAAGCCATCCATTAAAAAGCAATGTTTGGCTTTAGTTAGAGAGTGCATGGTTAGGTTATAACCTTTGAAAGGTTATAGGTTATAACCTTTAAAGGTGTGATGAAACATAAATTGAGGTTATGTTTGTTGAGAGTTATGAGAATTTAAGATTAAAAATGATTTGTTCAGAGCAGAAGTTATGCAAGGTAACTTTTTTACCGATTTTTTAGGTTAAATATATAGTTTTACTGTACACTTACCGTGATATTGTTTTAATAATCCAGACAAGTATTTGGAAAGCAGTCCAAGTTCCTATTAGAAGAACACAACATCAGCTGTTGAATCCAAACAGTGCTGCCACTATCACCATCCAAAAATTACCTGCTATAATGGCTTTAGTTTCCTCGTAGGCTTTAGTTACCCCCATCTACGGTAGTATTTACTCCAATCATTATATTTGTCCCCTAAAGTTCATGCAAATCTATCATACATAAGTCTCTCACTAATTCTAATAATAAAAAGTTATTACTATTATTGTCATTAATATATTTACTAACCTGTCATTACAAATATTTATTAAAAATAGATTCTGGTTATTTAAGTCATTTTTACTCATATCAGTATGCAAATATTGTCAACAGGCACAGTGCACTATGCAGAAATATTCTTAAACATGCTGTAAAAGACAAAATATACATAAGATACATATCATTTAAGACCTATTATCTGGAACTTTCACTATACATATCATATAAGACTAGAACATTTTTATTCCAACATTTTAAAATTAATTTATGGAAAACAAAAACAGTGTTTAACTTACTATAAGTCAATTATAAGCATATGGTCATTATCTATATAATAACTATTATCTTTTTTTAGTTATTGTTATTTATGTTAAAGTTATCAAGTTAAATTAAAGTTTTATAACTAAAGTTTAATGCAAAAGTTCATATCAATAAAAATTTTATCAGTATTGTAAACATAAGTATTATATTATAAGTTTTTACAAGTATAGGTATTGTAAGTATAAGTTATTATAATGTATATTATGAAATTATTGTTAATATTACAAGCGTACAATTTTAAATCCAAGTCAAAAAATATCAATTAAAAAATAAGGTTGATGCAAAACAAAAAACTTTATTGTTATGCATCAATCTCATTTTTTCAAAAAAAAAAATGGCTTTATTATAAAGCCATTTTTTTTGTATTTAAACACCTAATTATATCTTAATTATATCTGACGGTGTATTCAAACACATAATTATATCTGACGGTGGGTAAACTTCATTAACATCAGTCATTTTGCTTGCTATAAATATAGAAACATCAATGGAAAAGGGTGGATCTGTAAAAACGATTTAAAGGCTTTTAATTCCCTGAATACAACTTATCCATCACAACATTCGCCTATTGGCTCTTTTTAAATGGTTCTGACTAAACCAATATTTTGATTAAACTCAAACCAGTTATTACAATCACTAGCAGTTTATTACAAAACTTTCTATTTTGATCATTTAAAAATGCAAACTATGTCTTAATGGAATATTTACTACATGTTTAATAGTTACTGGAACATATGTTAAACAAATATGTTAAACTTTGTAAATTTATTTAAAATATATATATATATATATATATATATATATATATATATATATATATATATATATATATATATATATATATATATATATATATATATATATATATATAAATTCTTTAATAATGGTAATAAATAAATGAAATTTTAAAATAACGTCTTTTTAATGGAGTTTCACTGTGAAAAAATACATTAAAAAAATTTATTTCTAATTACAATGTAAATATGTTTACAAAAATCATAATGCATAAAAGTTAAATTTATTTCACGCACAATGCGAATTATAAATGGCAACCATCGAGTAAGTTTTGTCATGATTTTTTTAATTATCAGTTTAAACCTTTTGGGAAACCCGTCAAATCCCCTGATTCTTCGGCCCTGATAAAACCCAATCAAGCAAATATGCTTGATTTTTTTACCATATGGGACCCGTCCAGAAACCAAAACACTTACCCGTCAAAATTCCGTTCCCGTAAGCCAAGACAAAAACCATACGATACCCGCCTGTCGATGTTGGCTGTGTATATTTTAATGACCACTACAGTTGTGATATTTTAAAAAAAGTTTGCTTATCAATTTTTTCATTTAAATAAAATTTAATGGAATTTGATATATTTTATCTAATTTAGGTTTTATTTCTTTTAAATTAATTATAATTTATACTTCTGCCTGGAATCCATAAAATTTATTACTCCAGAGCATTAGATTACTCTTTCGGGCCTGCAGGGCCCGAAAGAGTAATGTAATGCTCTGAGACTCCTTTCTCGGACAAGGCTATCCAAACTAATAGTTTTGGCTCGTATTTGCTTTTTTTTTTAGTTTTACCTCATTAGATGTTGCTTCTGGATCAGAAGTATAATACCCTGAGTTGTCAGAAAGCTCTTTGCTATAATACCCAGAAAGCTCTTTGCTATAATACCCAGAAAGCCCTTTGCTATAATACCCAGAAAGCCCTTTGGTATAATACCCAGAAAGCTCTTTGCTTAAAGCAAAATACGACCTATCATGAAGGATCATAATTTTTTTTTCGAAAAAGTGCAACCTCTTTTCGGCTCTTGGCTGCTTTCTGAATTAATGTTTGTTTTGGTACTTTAGTTATTTTACGATAACAAATGGAAGTCTTTTCGTTGATAATTTTGGAAATATACTTTATAGTATAAAATAAAGGAGAATTATACAAATTAAAATTCCTTATTTCTTTAGCTTTTTTTCAGCTAAGAAAGTCGGTAGTCGGTTATATGCGAACTGTGAACCAGTAAAATGCGAACTTTTTTGCTAACCAGGATATTATATATGCTAGGAAACATTGATTCTTTTGGATTAACTATACTGTGAAATACCATTATTATCAATCAGTTTTTTCTAGGCATTTCATCTGTTTCTTAGGCATTTTTATTTTCCAACCACTTCCAACCTTCGTTTCTGGTCCTTTATTGTTCTCCTTTCGTTGCCATATATTGTAAAGAGTTGGTTTTGGAACATTTTCCATGAGAAAGTGATTAACAATAAACGCTTCGTTGTCATTTGGATGCAAATCTAAAAAGAGTATATTAATTCAGTATTTAATTTCAGTTAAAATACTTTAATAATTTTTTTAACTGTAGTTTTTTGCATTTATTGCTCTAAAGTTAATATTCTTACGAATTTATTTAAAAGATTCTTTCTTGTTCTGCTTTATTCTTCATTATTAAACCAATGAAAATCTAATTCCATAAGTTTGATTAGCTCCCTGAAACTCATATCAAATTAAGATAACAAAAATTTTATAATTGCACAATGGTGTTAATTGTAATAAATTGTACCGTTTACGACTGTAAACAGGAAATGTATTGAAGTGAAAAGTAATTTTTTATAAATTATAAAACAGAATAACTTTTGTGAAATAAAATTTTGCAACTTTGCAACGCCCATGAAATCTTAAGCGCTTTAAGTATTTTAAATATATTACGGACTAATGATATCTTTTCTAGATTATTAATTGGAAAGAGACTTTAACTATCCGCAAAAAACTACCTCGTCATTCAGAGAACCTTATTTTACAGTTATGCAGCGCTCCTGAAAATCGAATCGGAAGGAATGGTGCTCATGAAATAAAAAACCATCCTTATTTTGATAATTTTAATTTTTTGTCCATACATGAGGAAAAGGCACCTTTTGTTCCTATAATCAATCATCCAACCGACACTTCTAACTTTGATCCAGTTCCTGAAAGTAAATCTAATGAGTTTGATATTGGGGATGTGTCCAGCCAAGATGTAGATGACAAATTAGGTCCTGGAGCCTATGCGTTTTATGAATTCACTTTTCGTCATTTTTTTGATGATGGAGGCTTTGCAAATCCAGTTGCAAAGAAAATTGAGCAAAATATTAAGCCAAACACAGTATCACCTGCAAAGCGTTCTGCAACAACAACAAGCAATTCAATTAGTATACCTAATAAAGTTTCAGTACCTAACTCAGATGCTAATAAAAGCAAGTTGCCTGTTTTTGTATGATTTTTTTATAATTTTTTGGTAAATTCCTGGTTTGACGGTTTTAGTTTTTATATAATTTATATAATTTTATTTTATATTAAAATAATTTTTTGCAAGTTTATATTTTCTAGTTTCTAGTGTTAATATATTTTTTTAAAAGCGTGTTTAAATATTTTTTTTTTGAAGAAACTTTGCATACTGTACTGATTTTTTTTAATGAGGTATTATTATATTTATGAAGTATTTCGCTTTTAAATAAAATTATTTTTTTAGATATCTTATAATAATTTTTTTTTCTTGTTGTTAATAAAAAATTATTTATTTCTAAGAAAAAGAAAAGAAATCTATTATTTTCAGGATTTCATTATATGTTTATACGATGTAAAATTTCATCGTTCGTACTTTTTTTTGACTGCGTATCATTTAGAAAGAAACCAAATTGTATATAAATTAATTTAATTATTACTTTTAAATAAATAACTTTTACTTGTTATTTCTTTTAAGTTTTATTATTTAATTGTTATTATTATTACTTATTATTGCTGTTTTATTATTATTGTTATTATTATTATTGTTGTTGATGTTATTATTGTTATTATTAATAATATTATCGTTAATTACTAATACCATTTTGGTATTTTTATTTTTTGTTATTTTGGTGCAGTAATGCAATAATGGCATAAAAATATAACTTATTTATAGTTAAATTATTAAGTTTTTTTGTTTATACTTCATATCTCCTTTTTAAAAAAAAAAAATTTTAGTGTTGGATTTATATTTACTTGTTATTTCTTTTAAGTTTCATTAATATTGTTATTATTATTACTTATTATTGTTGTTTTTATTATTTGGATCTATGTGTGCCTGTGTGTGTGCATAAACACACACATACAAACACACACAAACACATCTCAAGTTATGAAAAGTAAGATATTAGTAAAATTAATACAAATATTTTAATTTAAAAAGAAAAAAAAGACCTATATAAAATCTTCAGTTGTGTATAAAATTTACAATTATGTAAAAGTCTTTAATGCTGAACTTAATATAAAAATTAAAAAAAAAAAAAAAGTAATAAGGGTTTATATAAAAAAAATTACTATTGATAACAAAAATATGGTAGAACTTTAATCTTAAAGTAAACAAGTAAAAATAAAAAATAATCTTTCTCTGCTTATATATTCATCGAGTCAAATGCCTGTTTATCCAGGTGAGCTTCATATATAAAACGTAAATTCTCATTTGAAAGTTATAACATCGGAAATAGCTTTAAAATTTTTTTTTTTATTTCATCTTATTCGTTTCTATTTTTATTTTTCGAAAACATGGAGACATAAACATTGTAAACACGTGTATGTATATGTATATTATATGTATTTATGTAATTCACCTTGTGAATTTTCCACCCTTCCCAAAATGAGGAGGTTGTAAAGTTTACACAGTTACAGCTTTCGAACACTAAAAAGTTATTAAATGAAATTTAAAACTAGTCAATGAATTTAAATTTATGCCTAAAAGAGACATATCAGAGACATCAAAATATCTTGTGTCCGCTCCTGGGCATAGAAAGCTTTCAAACAGAAGTGTTTCTGAGGTCAGAACGGTGTTTTTAAGCCATAAATTCAAATTTATAGAATATTAATTTAATCAATAGAGGTTCAACACTTTTGTTTGACGGCGAGTTGATTATGTTTGTGTAATCTACTGCATCAAAGTTTACGCGGCGGTATCTTGAACAATAAAAATATAGATTTAGGTCTTAACGGATATTAATCTTGCAGCAAATACACATCTTAGTGCTAACTGACAAATGTGAGGCCATTTATTTGTCAACATTTATTTGTCAACATTATATCGAGTAATAATAATAGTATCAATAAATTTCACGGATGAGCAAAGCATGCGTTTTTTAAGACTAAAGGATTAACAATTTTTTTAAAACTTGGTAGGCGAGTATCTCGTATAATGCATATTTGGTGCGACTACCAACCGTACCGGATTTCTTCGATCATTCATCATCTTCGATCACATCAGATTGCAGTGAACTGGTATCATTAGCACTTGCATTCAAAAGCAATGCTACATTTTGTGACAAGTTCTGTGATATTTCATCAGTTTTTCATTTCAGTTTCATTTCCTACTGTTTTTTTATTGTTATTACTTTAGGTGCCCCAAGAACTCCTTACGGTCTTATCACAATATACCGCGGAGTGGTGAATTGTGATAAGACCGTAAGGAGTTCTTAAATGAAGCAAGATCTTCCTTTCAAATGCTCTTTCAAAAGAGCATTTGAAAGGAAGTTCTTGCTTCCTTCTTTACCAATGTTATTAAACTTGCCCAGAGGTGTCGTTGAACCAGGAATCTCTAGTTTCTGAGGCAAGGGCGCTAACCACTGCAGCACGTCTGCTCTGTTTTTAGCATCAACATTTCCGACAGCAAAATTTTTTCCGTTTTTTGATCTGCAATAGATGCTTTATCTTTTGATGAAACATTTCAATACTTTACTCTCATTGCGTGTGAGTTGTTTCCTCATTCGTAAAATTTCAACTTTTTGCGCTGTCTAATCATTAGAAAGTAACGCAGTAAAAATACATAATAAATTTAAAAATTTCAACTTAGTTTAATTTAAAGTTAAATAATTTAAAGTACACTGTTATGTTATCCTAATGAAATTGAATATAGGAAATTTTTAGGGTGTTGTCCGTATCCATCAATCCGTATATCTGAACTTGTAAAAGTGTTAACATTATATTATGCTAACATGAGAGCGTTCAGAGAATTATAGCGAAAAAAATTTCCCAGTTTTTTTCTGTAGACCACTTTTTGATGATTTCTCAGTCCTTGAGACACCTCAGGAAAATTTCCTAAAGCACTGCATTTTTTACAGAGTATTTCTGATAAGTGTGCAAACCTGGGGAAATGAATATTAGAAAAAGTTTTTTCCTCATTTCTTCAGGTTTGCATGCAAATGATTTTGCTATATCAATTAATCTCATTTCCGTAAAAATCTATTATAGGGTAAAATCAAATTTAGCTTTCAAAATTTTCAATTTTACAAAAATTTCAAAAGCTATTTATCAACAAAACGACATTTCTGTTTAATGCCAAAAAAATTTGGTTTTACAAACTTAAGATGATTCTAGAATTTATTGCCATTTTAACTTTGATAATTTATAAATTAAAAAAGAATAATGTTTATCTTTGTTTATAATTATCAATAAATTTAATAATACACTTGAAAATAAATGTACGACAATTTTTTTTATAAAATTTTGGCGAATATTTCATTTGATTGTCGCGCGGGAAAATAACGTAGTAAACTTGTAAACAAAGGGTGCATGCGAATAACGTCCGTGTTAATTATTACGATAGTTGTATTTGATACTTGTATATCTTTTTAAATTGTTATGAATTATAAATTAGTTCTTAAACAATTTAAATATCCTTTTTTTAGAACCATAAAATTATAGGCTGCAGGTACCTTTTCATCTTTTGGGTATATAGCCCAATAAAAATAGAAATACGCAAAGGTACGGTAAGTGGTTATTTTTTCTTGCTCATTTACGTTTGCAGATATGTATGTTTTTAGCTAACTACTTATCAGCCATAATGTGGCTGTATAAGATATGGCCCATGTATAACAAATGGCCCTGTATAACATATGGCCCATATGTTTTTGAAAGTATAAAATGTATTGCTAGGTTATATATATATATATATATATATATATATATATATATATATATATATATATATATATATATTTTATATATATATATATATATATATATATATATATATATATATATATATATATATATATATATATATATGTATATATATATGTATATATATATGTGTATATATGTATATATATATATGTATATATGTATATATATATGTATATATTATATATACATATATATATACATATATACATATATATATATACATATATACACATATATATATATATATACATATATACACATATATATATACATATATATATACATATATATATATATATATATATATATATATATATATATATATATATATATATATATATATATATATATATATATATATATATATATATGTTTTTTAGTTTTTTTGAATATGAAGCTGTACACTCCGGAAATATCATGGCATCAAAAAGAACCTATTTTCAGTGTCGATTTTTGTCCAAACACATTTAAGCTTGCTAGTTCCGGTGCTGATTTTACTATTAAGGTAGAAAGCACTATTGTTATTATTATTATTATTTTTTTGTACATATTTTTTATGACAGTTTTTCTCATATATCTAATTTGTGTTTTTAAAAGATATAAATGAAAGGTCTTTGAAAATGATAATAAACATTGTTAAAATTCCTAAGAAATCTTTACCATTCAGGATGACATTGAATAGTTTCTAATTTTATTTATTTTTAAAACAAAAGGTACATTTTATATATCAGTAGGTTCATAAATATAACTTTAAAATTTGGAATATTGAAAAACTAAGAGTTATAAATTAATATCAAAATAATACTAGATACAAAATTCTGGGCTATAATAAAACAAAAGCATGATCACTGGATTTCGGAATACAATTAAATCAATAATGTCTAATATTTTTGTTTAACTATAAAATTTCAACAAATCAGATTATTATTTTATTATTATTAAAAAAATATTTTCAATTATCCCAATAAAGGTTATAGCAGTTAAAATTGTAATATTATGGAATGCAAGGTACTTTAATAGAAAATTCGCTTATCAAACTTTATTCATTTTACACTGTGTTTCATCAAATAAAGCCTTATCAAAAAAAGATTTCTGATGAGTTTTAATTGATGAAACACATTGTAAAATGCAAAATGTTTGATAACTAATTTATTTCTCTGTTCTTTTAAGAACATTGAGCACTCTATTTTGCAGAATACATATAAAATTCAAAAAAAAAGTATAAAGACAAAGTTCAAGTTTCAGTTTGACTTTTTTTTGCTTGCAAAATGTAATTGTTTATAAATCTTTTTTTTAGCCGAAGATGTATCTTACAAATAAAGCTATTTAAGATTCAGTTGATAATATTAAACATTTAAAAAAATACATTTAAAGTGAAACAAAATTGAATACATAAAAAGCGATAAATAACGTTTGTTATGCATATATTCTTGTAACATTAATATTACAAGCATATGCAATGAGTATAAAATCTAATAAAAATTTAATAAGCAATTTTCGAATTAATGAATAACAGATAGCTTGTGCGAAAATCAAAAGCTCTTGTAAAAACCTTTTTAGAGGAGCAATTGCATGGCTCAATATGTTTGTTTTAGGAGAGCATTCATTTACTTCCGCAAAAGCCTATATATATATATATATATATATATATATATATATCTATATATATATATATATATATATATATATATATATATATATATATATATATATATATATATATATATATATATATATATATATATATATATATATATATATATATCAAGCCTTCTCAGGAGACGCGTGCAGTCGCACGCCTTGAATGACCACGCATATATATTTTTTTGTTGATAACATGGCCACGAAATTTTTTGCATTTATTAAAAATAACGCATCTTAAAAACGCGCTGAATAAACAAAATTAATTGCTCATCTTTTTTTAATTATTATTATTAATTCATTATTATAGTTATTAATGAGAAAATACAAACATTAAAATAACATATATAGGCATTTCCATTTTTAACTTACGTTACACACGCAATAACTTTACCAAATATTAGCTTATTTAAACTTTTAAATTAAACTTTTAGCAATTTTGTATAAAAGCTGTTAGTCTAATAAATAAAATAAGCTTAAAAGTTTTGTGTTCGGCCGAAAGAAAGCAAACTTATTACTAAAAATACCACTTGCACTGATGTTACACAGAAAACAAGGTAAAAAAACAAATTGAACTTATAGGTCTCATTTCTGCAAATCAGTAAATCAGTTTGTATTAGAAACTTTTACAAAATGCAGATAATTCTATACCAATTTAAAATTTTTATAAAAACTTTTTTAAAATAAACTTGTTTTTTTGATACTGTATTTTTTACTTAAATTACATCACTTACATTATCGAGCGGTTATCATGATTTTTTTTTTATCTATTATTAAGAGTTAGAGTTACATAAAAAAAGAATTGTTTAAGTATTGAACTCATTCATTAAAAATAATTAGCAAAGAAATTTTTTAAAAACTGGTGGCACTCTTCCTGAGTAATTTTTCATAACTTTCATGAAAGTTATCAAACCGGAAATAATTTTTTCGCAAGACCAAGAGTAACTTCAGAAAAATGCTGCTAAGCAGAGCCGGCGCGAGTAGGGGTCACGTGGGTGGGTGGGGGTGCCATAACAACTTTTGCCGTCTTAAAAATAAAAAAAATATATAAAAAAAAGGTCCTCGTTTTTTAAAATTTACCGACTGCCATAACGACATTTGCCGACTGACTTAACCAACTAACCAATCAACAGGGTCTACATTTGCCGACTAACTAGTCAAAAATGGTCACATTTGCCGACTAAGGGTCAAATTTGCCGACTAAAAATCATTGATGGGGGGGGGGTTTCCCCTCCCCCCCCCACACACACACATAGCTATCGCACCGGCTTTGCTGCTAAGTTAAATTTTTTAAATATTTAAATCTTTTTTAAACATCTATGCGTCATTTTTAATAAATGCAAAAAAAAAAATCGTGGCCATGTTGTCAACAAAAAAATATATACGCGTGGTCATTCAAGGCATGCGACCGCACGCGTCTCCTGAGAAGGCTTATATATATATATATATATATATATATATATATATATATATATATATATATATATATACATATATATATATATATATATACATATATATATATATATATATATATATATATATATATATATTTTAATAACGTTGTTAAAGATTTTCTAAAAGTCTCAAGAGCCAAATTTCTGAAATAAGATATGAGATTTATTTAACTGAGTATAATGAAATTAGGCATAATACAGTATCTTTTTGCATTGATTTATTGCACTAATAAATAGGTGTTTGTTCTTAAGAGAGTTCTTCTTTTGAAAAAGATGGAAAAATGGTTACGATTAGATATAACTGCTGCATAAGAAGGTGAAAACTATGAAGTAGAATGAGGCTTGACTTGAAACTGGCAAGAAGGAATATAAACTTAAATTGCATGGTTGGAACCACCTAAAGGAGGACAAGGAGAAACTGAACACAAGCTACGGTCAGAGACAAGACACAAATCAAGAAGTGAAGGTAAATGATTAGAGATGTCTAAAAAAAGAGTCGCAAACTATATGAGTAAGAAGTTAAGGGCTTTAGTGCCTGCAAGATCTATAGTATTAGCTAAGCCATTCAGTGTGATGAGCATTTAAGTCACCAACAATATTGGTATTAGAGGGAAAAAAAGGTATGGACAATTTGATCATAAATTACAAAAAAGAATGTAGGTCTTGGGAAGAGAACAATAAAGAGCGAAAAGAAAGTTGATAGAGTGAAGAGATGCTAAATGGAAGCACATAAAAGAATAGTGAAAGAATTGACTATTTCTGATTTCTTAACAAATAGGTGAGTTGATGCAAATATATTTCCTCACGCTGAGCTTGTGACTATTGGAGTTTTTATGAATCAAAGAATAATACCCATCCAAACTGAGATCTGAAGAAGGAATAGTGGAATTTAAATTAGCCTTACTGTATGGCAAGTAAGTCTGATTGCAAGAGGTAAGATTCATCTGATAAAAGGTTGCTTCGCAGACCTTGAATATTTTTAAAATATATATTGAAACAGTTAGGTGGCGGGGATGGTTTTTTATGTTTAATATTTTGGGTTATTTTTGACATGATTTAAGTTTAAAGAGTACTTGACTCATTCATAGATAGAGCACAACCTTCCAAGCAATGAGTTATGCAATCTTCTCAAGCCACTTTCTATCCCAAGCAATGATCTATACACTTTCCTCAGTCCTTCTATTTTATTCAATCTTAACTTAGGGCTCCTTATGTGGCCTTGACAATGCACACCAAAAGCATTAACAGGGACACCATTCATGTGCAACATGGTGCTGTTAATACTCTGATATTGTACAGGTGTTGATGGAATCAGCTTTTCTGAAAGCTACCATAGAGTTTGGAAAACTTACTACCAGCTGGTAGTAAGTAAACTGATTTTCAGAGCTGTACCCACCATAAGAGATAACAGAAACAGTTGCATAGCCACTATCAAAGAGGCATAAGCAAAAATCTATGATTAGGGTCAAGAAAATCCAGTATTCATCATACTAGGCAGGAAACAATGTAACACAGTTTTACATCTACACCAGCCTAATAAATGAAGAAGTTGTTCAAGGCTAGTCAACAAAATTATTCTACTTAACCCTAAGGTTTTTTGCCTAGGAGGTCTTCTACAAGTCAGTAGCTGGATGCTTATTAAGCAGTAGTTAAGTAAACTGTAGTTAACATCTCAGCTTATGTAGTATATATGGTATAAATAAGTATATATGGTAATAATAAAAAGGTATATATAATAACATATAATAATAAATATATCTAACATTTTATGTAACAACTTAGGTAAGCAGTAGTTAACATCTATCTAAAATGTGTATTTTTTTTGAGACACCATCTCTGGTCTTTACTCAACCAAGAGCCACAACCAACAGCAGCAGAGTGATCTTGATGATCCTGAACCTAAAAAATACTGATCTAAGTCTATACACACACTTTATATATATAGAATACATTTTTAAAATTGTTTAAACATATATATATATATATATATATATATATATATATATATATATATATATATATATATATATATATATATATATATATATATATATATATATATAATATATATATATATAATTATAGTTAAATTACAGGAAGTCATATGTCTCTTAACTACTGTAAATTTTCACACATTTGAAGAATATGTTGACACTATTCAAGGACAAACCCAGACCTGTTTTAGTACCGCTGGAGTGTTATAGGGCCAAAATAAAAGCGCCCAAAAATTATTGTTATTCTTTAATTTTTCTTTTGATTTTTTATTAAAAATTTAAAAAATTTTAGTTTTAAATGCAGTAGTATATAAATAAATTTCAGCTTATTTTAGCTGTTTCATTTTTTCTTTCAGTCAATAAAATGAATTAAAAAGTAGTTTTTTTTTTGTAATTACGTGACATAACTGTTT